TCTCTCTCTCTCTCTCTCTCTCTCTCTCTCTCTCTCTCTCTCTCTCTCTCTCTCTCTCTTTGTGGCACACACTTACCTAACACACCAAAAAAGAGAGAGGGAGAGAGAGAGATGCATTATCCGTGTGAAAGGCTGAGAAGTGAAGTTGCGTGTCCAGGTTAAGTTCAAGAGAGACAAGAACATACCTACTTATGTCTTCCTATTTGAAGAAGTGTGAAAAGGCGTGCGATGCAGGCCTGGTTCTCAACCCTTGCCCCCACCTCCCATTTTGTTAAGTGACCACTACCTTTAAAAGTTGTAGTCTCACTCGGGTGTATAATCTATACCGCATTTTTCGAGGATCTAGCAGAGGGTCGGTCGTTAACTACTGGAATGAATAAAAAAAAAAAAGATTGGGACCCCGTGGGCCTGCTCGCAACAAGGGGGAAAGATAGAAAATAACCACATCAATATCAATGATGTTAGGGCAGGTTGTCATGGAGGCCATACTCAGACTAGTGCTTTACACAATGTATCTGACCACTATTAGGACGAATACTTTGTTGTTGTTTTTTTATTGGGGAAATTGTGGTTGTGGACCACTTTTAGTTTCAAGTAGGCAGCAAAAGAAAAAGTGGCACCGATGTCATAATGTGAGTTTCAAAATGTGCAAAAGGTTTAACGGGAGTCTAAAACTGCTCCTGTCAGTCATTGCACCCGCAGTGGCGCCATAAGTTCAGGAACCGCAGCGAGCAGGCCCACGGGGTCAGAATAAGCAACTTTGGAGGTTTAGAATAGGCAACTCGGGTAGTCGCCTATTCTGAACCTCTAAAGGCAACCATAAGTTCACCCGTCGAAAACTTTGTTGCCTATTCTGAACCTCTAAAGTTGCCTATTTATAAGAAAAAAAAAAATGCTAAAGTTACTTATTCTGAACCTCGGGTAGTCACTTTTTTTGCACCATAAGTTCAGGAACTGCTAAAGTTGCCTATTCTGAACCTCAGGTATGACTCCAAGGAATTTGCCCCTTTTTTCTTTTTCTTTCTTTTCTCTTGATTCTTAGTGTCCGAACAGCGAGGCGCGACATATGCCACACTCTACTGAAAACACCTTGGCTGAGGGGTACTTCCCAAAATTTATCTCACCGATATCACGTCGAAAACTTTATTTTTCCCCTTCTTCTTCTTCTTTTTTTATTTCCATCGAGATATCCGACCGCCGTGACTTCATTTGTTTTCCTAGAGGTACAAGGAAAAAAATCAATAGGTTCCACATTTTTGTCAAGCTCAGCACTCATATAAATTCAGGGTTGACAAAAAG